AAGAACACTCAAACATTTTGGGCCCTGTCTTGCAACAAAACGCATGGCATGCAGTGCAGGTTGTGAGTCTGTGCTTCCTAATTTCCTACATGTGCAATTACCATTTCATGATGTGCATTACATTGCCTTTTTATAAAGCAGCAGAAATGAAAATGTGGTGTGTCCAGGTAAATTTTGGGCACATTGGTGATTTGATGGCACAAAGTGACTGCACCACTGACCAGCAAAAACCAGGTCTGTGGTCAACAGTCAAATCATCATTGCTAGTTAATGGGCGCTTTGACTGTGTTGTGATGCGTGCCTGTCTAGGTGTGTGCACAATGCTTGTGCACTGTGTTTGTTATACACTAAGGCACGCTGTGCTGGACATGCAAAACTTAAAAAATAAAAAGATGACATTGTGTTCATTTGCTGCTGTGCACATCAGTATATATACATAAGAAATACTGTACCATTTTGATTAGTGACCGTGTGCCTTCACCTCATGCACATCCGTTTCCTTAGTAAAAAAGTTTACTGACATCCAACCTAACATGTCCGCCAGTATGCTAACAATCAGCCCAACCTTCAAACTCACCGCTTTAATTGCATATTATGCCCAAATCACATCCCTGTTTTAATGAGGAGATGAAGTACAGCCCTTTTGCTACTTGCACGGGCGCTTGAACCGTTTTCCTCATCAACAAATTAGCTAAATGAACATGGACACACCCAAACACCACTTGCACCTGTACATCTTGATCAGACACCGTGGATCCTCAAAACAGGGCCCAATGAGTTTGTCATTCACAAGAGGCATCTGCTGATGTGAACGATGCTTCACGCACAAGAGATCTCAGACTTGCACTCAGGACCTGCTGATTTTCATCAAGCTGGAAAGGGTTACAGAGGGTGTAGATATTCATCAGTCCATGTATATGAAGATGTTTTAGTTTTGTGGCCACTGTCCATAGAAGTGGGCACCCAGCTAAGATGACTCCACAGGCACAACACAGAAGGTTCAGTGAGATACAAAAGAAGCACAGAGTGACAGCTGCAGGCTCGGAGGAATCACTGGAGCTGGTTAACATTTCTTTTCATGAGTCTAATATGGATTATGTGGAATGTCACGTGACCAAACCGGAAAACGAATCAGCGCACTTCCACTTTTCCGCAGAACGCGGGTGACACAACAGTAGTAACGCGAAACACGTTCTTTGAGCTCGTTATATTTGATTAGTTCGTAGATAAAAAAAAAAACAAAAATGTCTTTTTCAAGACACAAATACCAGAAGCGGGATCATCCAAACAGTGATTTCTGCTGCGTACCTCAATGCGCGATGTCAGGGAAGTTTAATTCAGCCATAAGCTTTCACCATTTTCCTAAGGATGAAACCTTAAGAAAAATATGGATCCGTAATGTACGACATGATAATCTTGTAATTAAGAGGACGACAACAGTATGTAGTAGACAC